ACTGACCCAATAGCATATCTTGAAAACTAGAGACCAATCAACAATTTTAAGCATCATTTTCATTCTCAGTGACCCAGAATTAGTAAAGTTTGACTACATTTATTTTAGAAGCATTTTGGCTGTAGAGCAGTGTAATCTTTGCCAAACTTCACGTGTTTGGGCTAAAATTTTCCATGTCTGCCTCAGGTTGAATTTTTTTTGGGGGTGGTGGGGGAGGTCAAAATTTCATCCAAAACAGGCACCAGGGAGGAGGAAGTTGCTTTATTCAAATGCAAAGGTGACCTGAGAAGATATGAGCCAGATCTGTGGGAGGAGTAGATTGTGACAAAGAACCTGGGAGGTGGGGGAAAAGGGGGGAAGCTGGGGGGAGACTGGGAGCCACAGAACAAAATTTGGACTAGCTGTGCAAGAAGACTGGAAGCTGGAGAGAAAAACAGAGTGGAATGACTCCACTGAATGAGGGAGGGGTCCTATGGAAAAATAATATGTGATAATGTAATTAAAAACTCTATCATAATACAAGGGGGTCGAATAAAGGTTGCTTAGGGAATCTTAATTCTTGCATTTCCTAACTTTTGAGTACTTAACTTTGCAACCTTACTAATGATCTTTTAATTTCGCTCTTTTAAGGATGAAATTCTGAGATGTATTTGTACCTCAGCTTTTTGACTGGATAGTACTATAAAGACAACAGAGGGCCTATCTAACACAGGTTCGGCTCCACTGATGTTTGCACAGTGGGAGCCGTAGTGTAAATGGGCTACCAACACAGTTTTTTTGAGCACCATGTTGACTAGGTTTACTATAAGCAGGATTAGGTGACATGAGGATGAATAACAGCATTAGCAGCTAGTGGGCTCTCTACATTATAGCTCCCAACACTGCTAAAACCGGTTCAGTTTATTTCATCTTTGGAGGCCTATTAGTCCCACTGTCAGCCTATTTTGGCTTTTAAGGGGCCTAATGAGCCTGTTCTCATTTTTGTGGTCACTTTACCATTAACTCTGGACTTTCTTGTATTTCTAACTTTTTTGTTTGTTAAACAAAACTTCACTCTCATGTGCCTACAAATTTAACTACACCTTAACTCAGCTTTTTAAATGGGTTTGTAGTAGGATTATTTTCTAGTAGTGATTCAGCACTTCAGAGGTTGATCTGAAGCAACAGGCAGTGGAGAATGTGCCATTCCTCAACAAAAGAAGCAATGTCATCAAGTAGAGCACATTAGCACGATTTTCAATTAGCGCAATCAGAATCAAAGATCACAAACACTATTTTATTTATTTATTTATTTGTTAGCTTTTCTATGGTGCTCATGAATGCAGTATGTGATTGCCTAGCAAACATGAATCAACTAAGCACCAAAACAAAATAAAATCAAAAGGGTTGCTGGCAGATAGAGAAAGAAAAACATATGGCACTTGTTACTGATGACAGATGTTCTTTTATATTTGATATTTGGTAATAAAGTGATACATTTATTCCTTTAGATGTTTAATTCAGTGGGGGTGACTTTCTGCATTTGATAAATTTCTGGTTCTTATTTTCATTTAACCAAAAATGACTGGAAGTTTTAGTAATTTGTGAAATGGTCTTTTGAGTAAATGACAGATAGTTTCAGTCATGTCATTATCTACTGGTTTGTCAAAATGACCAATATATACATGAAACTGAATTTGAAGGTTATGTAATTTGTATCATATTTGTGGATAAACAAGCTTCCTGCCCTCAACTCCTCACTCCTACAAAATCAAGCTTTCAATTTTCTTGGCCTCTTCTTTCCTTCACAAGTATGAAACGGATTACACACCACTCTAAAGAAATAATTGCATTTATTTAAATTGCATGGTATAAAGGGAAAGAATATTGCTATGTTCTTAGAGTTTGGAGCATAAAGGATAGTGAGACTGGTTCTGTTTCTGCACTACCCTGTAATCTCCTTTCATAGATTTTTAGATTCTAGGACTGGAAGGGAGCTCAAGAGGTCATCAAGTCCAGTCCCCTACCCTCATGGCAGGACCAAATACTGTCTAGACCATCCCTGACAGACATTTATCTAACCTACTCTTAAATATCTCCAGAGATGGAGATTCCACAACCTCCCTAGGCAATTTATTCCAGTGTTTAACCACTCTGACAGTTAGGAACTTTTTCCTAATGTCCAACCTAAACCTCCCTTGATGCAGTTTAAACCCATTGCTTCTTGTTCTATCCTTAGAGGCTAAGGTGAACAAGTTTTCTCCCTCCTCCTCCTGACACCCTTTTAGATGCCTGAAAACTGCTATCATGTCCCCTCTCAGTCTTCTCTTTTCCAAACTAAACAAACCCAATTCTTTCAGCCTTCCTTCATAGGTCATGTTCTCAAGACCTTTAATCATTCTTGTTGCTCTTCTCTGGACCCTTTCCAATTTCTCCACATCTTTCTTGAAATGCGGTGCCCAGAACTGGACACAATACTCCAGTTGAGGCCTAACCAGCGCAGAGTAGAGCGGAAGAATGACTTCTCGTGTCTTGCTCACAACACACCTGTTAATGCATCCCAGAATCACATTTGCTTTTTTTGCAACAGCATCACACTGTTGACTCATATTTAGCTTGTGGTCCACTATAACCCCTAAATCCCTTTCTACCATATTCCTTCCTAGAAGTCTCTTCCCATTCTGTATGTGTGAAACTGATTGTTCCTTCCTAAGTGGACCACTTTGCATTTGTCTTTGTTAAACTTCATCCTGTTTACCTCAGACCATTTCTCCAATTTGTCCAGATCATTTTGAATTTTGACCCTATCCTCCAAAGCAGTTGCAATCCCTTCCAGTTTGGTATCATCTGCAAAATTAATAAGCGTACTTTCTATGCCAATATCTAAGTCATTGATGAAGATATTGAACAGAGCCGGTCCCAAAACCGACCCCTGCGGAACCCCACTTGTTATACCTTTCCAGCAGGATTCGGAACCATTAATAACTACTCTGAGTACAGTTATCCAGCCAGTTATGCACCCACCTTATAGTAGCCCCATCTAAGTTGTATTTGCCTAGTTTATCGATAAACCTGAATATTTCATTAAAAAGGTTCATAACTTTTAAAGGTTGAAGCACGTTTTATTAAAATTGGCATGGAACATGTATGCTAAGCACAAGTCAACTGGAACAGAGCAACAACCAAAAATATCAGCTGATTCCCAGTCATCTCACTATGAGCGTCATTTGCTTTATTTCAGCAAAAAAAGGGAATACTAGCATTTTAGAAACAGTAAACTTACTCTTGGCAAAATTTAGCTAACATCACTGAATAGTTTGTAAACCAGCAGGATTAAGGCCAGTTTATATTGGTTCGCTGCTACAAACAGAAGTAAACTTGTTTCAATCGAGAAAAGAACTTTAGGGTCAAAATCTGATCTGCATTAAAATGGTACAAATCCAGAGTAATGGAGTTATTCTAGATTCACCTTATCTGGGACCTTATTCCATACTCTGTTTTGAACTGAGATAATTTATCAAGTCAAAATCAATAGGGAACCCACTCTGTGTGATTATATAATGCTGGACTGTAGCAGATGTTGTGTCACATCATGCTGAAGTGGTAGGGTAGGAAGGCTGGTCGAATAGGTAAGGCATTGGGATGAGACTCAAGAGACCAGAGTGCAATTTCTGGCTCACCACAGCCCCCCTCTAGAATAACCTTGTGCTAGTCACTTGATCAACACTGTGCCTCAGTTCCCTATCTATAAAATGGGTAAATACCTACCTCATAGGGGTGTTGAGAATAAAATCTAGTAATGATGGTGAGATGCTCAGATATATGATGATGGGGGTGCTACAAATACTCAAATAAGAAAAGGAAAAAGATACTTAAGGACTTTCTTTGGCATTTTGTGACTTACTAAAATAACAAGGAAGTGATTTAAAAGGTTCATATATATGTTTTCAGTTAATTTATTTTCCTTAACTTACTTTTCTGGTTTTAGATCCCTGTAAATAATTCCAAGACTATGGAGGTGGTCTAAAGCCAAGGCCAGCTCAGCTAAGTAGAACTTGACATCCTCTTCTGTAAACATTACCTAGCCAGAAAGAAAAGAACAAGAAGTCTTAATCACTGTCTGATAACAGGTTGATTTGCTTCAAACAGCTGCACGGGAGAATTCTCTGACTCAGGATTGCAAGAAAGACCATCATATCAAATTCAATTTGTCAGTATTTGTCTGCACTCACATTAACCCTCCTCACCGGGTTCTCCTGGTTACATGACAAAATTCTGTTCATTCAGCTGTGTTTTCCTCTCCCTTAAATCATGCTGCTTTCATTCTTGTTTTTAGTCAGTTCAGCTGACATTACATACTAATATAAATCAGGGCTGAGCCATAGTCTATTGACGTCAATGGCAAAAAGTCAACAATGCACAGCCAGGCCTTTAGTACCTGCATTCATCCTTGTTTACTAAAATCTTGGCACGTGGTTCCCAAATTCCCACAAGCTGAGATATGGACCTAGTTTGTGTAGAAGTGAACTGAAATGCTTTGTGTTTTATAAAATGACTTATATTTAGTTCCAAAATATTAACAGAATATGCAGCATGCATAGACTTAGGACCCAATCAAAAAAACCCTCCATTGAAGTCAATAGGAGTTTTTCCATTGACTTCAGAGGGCTTGGGCTCTTAGTTATGACAAGCTCCTCTTTTATTTACCTGCTGAGACATATGTTTGATATCAGATTCATCCTGGTGACATGAGACACAGAACACAGTAAAAGCCACAGGCAAAACGCCTACAGGGCCAGACATGGCTCCCCCACTAGTCTAGCCTGGGGCGACAGCAAACCCCTGGGGAGCCTGACTGGTAAGGTATGGCAACTGCAGGTACTGGCTGTGAGGCAGAACTCAGGGAGCTGAGCAGCAGCTGCAGTTTACCCAGCTGGCTGCTTCTGAAGCATCACTTGGGGACGTGGGATAATGCTGTCTTCTAGAGACATTGCTGGCAGCCAGCCAGAAGTGGTCTTCCTCCGGGTGCTGGTGGCTCAGGTCCTGGCCACGTACAGACTTGTTCCTTTGGTGGCTGCAGCAGCTCTTACCACATCTCCAGGAGGGCAGGGGAGCGGAGAGGAATATGGGGAAACCTGTGAGGAAGGAAGGGAATGGAGACAAGCAGAGATGCCCTTTCCAGGAGCAAGGAAGCAGGGAGAGGAGCAGGTACACAGCTGCGACAGGTGAGAGAAGAACTGCTAGTACCAAGGGAAGGTGGTGGCTCTTGGTCTACTCAGACTCCCAACAGCTGCTACAGGGGACAGTACTATCCACATTCTGCAGGTTGCTGCCTGGTTAGCTTGCACAGCTGCCACACCCTGTGCCTTGTGTTCTGTCTCACGGCTATGTCCAATCCCCACCTCCAGCTGTTGCTTCTCTCCAGCAGCCAGAGCCAGCATGCTGCCATGTGCCCCAGGTTAAACTCCTTGGGATTTGTAATGCCACTGGCAATAGTCCCAGACAAGGGTTCTGTCAGAGACTTGTAATCTCCGATGAGCTCAGCCAATGGTGTCATTGGAATAACATCCTCTGCCACTGTCTCTGCCAGGTGCTAGGTAGAACCAAATTCAATCTAGAATTTAAAATATTGTAATACGTTTAAAAAAAAAAAACCTAATTTGCTGTCATTGCTCTATGTGAATTTAAAAAGTCAATTTTCAGGTGAGAGCAATGCTTTAAGAATTTGGCTTGCATTATTCACATGCACCTTCTCTTTCTCTCCCCCCTCCCTCCCCCCCGTATTTGCACCTTCCACTTTGTGGTACCAGGTGTTTTTTTAAATTGTCTCACCATGACTATCTTCTCCCTTGCAGCTCCTGCCCCCACCAGCAGCTGTCTTGTGTCTGTCCTCCTCATTGACTCTCCCCCTCTTTTCAAATTTAATCTGAAAACAATTATTTCCTCATTTCTCTGTCAGTTTTCTCCCCTCTGCTATTTTTTATTATGTAACTATATATCTATGGGGATTTAACTCTGGGAAGCAGTGTGGGATAAGGACTGTATGAAATGTTCTATTCAGACTAAAAGGTGCTGTATTATGAATAATGTATGTCTAACAAAAATAAAAAGTTACACAGGGAAAGAGAGTGAGGAGCCAGGATCACTCTTCTTTAAATTAAGGAAAAATCATTGGAATTGAAGGATTAGTCACCACCTCAGTCCAGGGTTGGGGCAATGTAATTACTGGGACAGAAGGGCACAGACAAAGTAGCATGGCTAACCTGGCACAACAAGGTGTCCTTGATCTTTCAGTGACCTAGTGAGGGGCCCTCAGAACCCTGCTGCTTCCTGCCCAAGCAAGGCCTCTAGGAAAAGACCTTGCAGAGCCACATAACCTTGGGTGAAATCTTGCCCCAGTGAAATGAATGGCAGTTTTGCCATTGACTACAATTGGGCCAAGATTTTACCCTTTGTGTTTTTGTGCTAATTCCTAAGGATTCAGAGTCAGCTCAGGGAGACTAATCTCCCTAATTAGCTAATTAGGGATAGATGAACCCAGTTACAATAAGGAGGGGCTAGGTTATTCCCATGAAAGAGACTGGAATTTTATTCACCAGAAGCCACGGAAGGGAACTCTGGGGGAACATAAGGGCCACCCTGCCGGCGTGTTTGTTTTGAATTTTGGCCTTTACTTGAAGGAATGCAAAGAGAGACTTCTGCGAAGTGTAAAATATCTGGTGAAGTAAACTGGAAAACCTGGAAGGGATTTTGGCATTTCAACTGGAGAGTCCTGTGAATTCCCTAGCCACCCAGAACCTGACCCTGATACACGTGGTCACTTGAGTATAGGCTTCATAGAGTGGGGAATCTGGGTATATCTTTTCTCTCCACATCACAGCCAGCATGTGTCTCTTTTTATCAATGAGTCAGGGGTTATTCTACCATGAGAAGGAACTAGCAATGATCCGTTGGGAGTAAATTGTAATTAAGTTTTCTATTAACATGATGCTCACACTCTGTCAGGTATGTCACTTATCACACAATGTAGATACAAGTATTAAAAAAGGTTTAGGGAAATTATAACAAATTACAGCTCCAATTCAGTTACATAGAATGAAAATACACCCAGGGACACACACAAATTCTGAAAATGATCCAAGACATTATTTTGTGTCCGACACAAAAATCAATGGGCTTACCTCTTTGGAGAGTCTTGTGAAAAGGTCCCCTCCCCGCAGGAAATCTAGTATTAGATACAACTTTCCCTCTGTTTGAAATGCTGCATTAGAAAAGAATGGCGATGTTGGATGTTTTAAATCATTACAAAGTCTCCAAAGAATGAATATTATTGATTAATTCTGCATCGTTCTCTAACTCTCCTACCATGTTAACACTTCACTTTTAGAATGGAATTATTTAAGATCTCTGCTGGACTAAGCAATCTAGCCCATACTACAGGGAACAATCCTGTGTTAGCTGGGAGATGGAGATGTATTACTAATGCATTCTTTGCCCCCCTTAGCATCTGGTCCCAAAGCTTGGGCTCCAGTCTGTGCCCGCATACCTACCCAGCAATCTTAGAGCCCCGCAGCCTGAGCCCCAGGTGTCCAAGTCAGCCTATCCATGCCAGCTGCAGGCCTTTAATTACTGTGTATACATACCTAATGAAGCTAAAGCTGTCCTCCATTGCACAGGGTGAGGAGACGAAAAGAGAGTAAAACTAGTCAGAGAGGCTCCCAGAATTGTGGCAGGAGAGAGCTACAGCTCTTCAAAATGCTCACAGAAGCCCCTTTGCACTAGCAATTTAGGGAGTTTGTTGGGCTGAGAAAGGCAAATCTAGGGGGAAGCTGCTCTGCGTAACTGAAAGCATTGCAATAGTTACTCCTGGGGGCATCCTGTGGCAAAAAAATAAAAATTCTGCGTGCAATATTTTAAAATTCTGCAAATTTTATTTGTCAAAATAACACAACATAATCAAGTCTCTGTGACAATACAAACACACACAAAATTTCCCCCAGGAGTAGAGAGTTAAAGAAACCCCTACAACAACCCAGGTCCTGTTTCTCTGCTCCCTTGCCCCCCAGGGCCCAGCCGGGGGGGCCAGACACTCACAACCCCTCCCCCCCAGGTCCAACCATGGTGCCCCCCGCAATGCACCCAAACCCCTCCCCCCAAGAGCCTAGCCACGCCTCCCTAGCCCAGATACCTGCACCCCCCACCCCAAGAACCCAGCTGCGGGCCCTCTCCCGCCAGATACCCACACCCTCTCCCCCCTCAGAGCCCAGCTGTAGGGCCCCCCCTTGCCCAGATACTCACACCCCCTTCCCCCAGACCAGACACCTGCACCACTCCCCCCCAGAGCCCAGGGATCCAGAGAGAGAAACAGCCTGATGCTCAGTCCCAGGCTTGCACGCTGCCTTCTCCTTCCATCAGGGCATGCAGGGAACTGCAGCCACCAGGAACCCTCTAGCTCCCTCCCCCTCCCCATATCAGTGTCTTCTATGTGTGAGCTGGGCTCTGCCGGGTCCATCAGCCCTTAGTGGCGGCCAGCAGCACTGCAGCCCATTTCTGTGGGGGAAAGGAAATTCTGCGCGGACGTTAATTTCTGCAACATTCTGCATTGCGCAGTGGTGCAGAATTCCCCCAGGAGTAAATAGCTTATAGAAATTTAGTGAGTGCTATCAATTATTAATAGTTTTTGGAAACAAGAGAATCTAATAATCAAACTGTTTGCTGAAGAGGGGTGGTAGAAGTGGCCTCTACATCTTTTTTATCCCACCAGCAAACTCTAGTAACCATTATTACATTACACCTTGTATCAAATTTGTTTTGACAGAGGCGTAGCTAAGCCCTCCTCATGCGAAAATTTTCCCGTCACATAAGGAAAATGAAGTCATACGCATCCGTAACTGAGTGGAAATGGGGTAGTATTTAGCAAGGTGGTATTCTTATGAAATGACACAGATCCAGTTACAATCCCAAAACACACGGAAGAGTGAATGCGAATTCCATGTTATTATAATTACCATAATGAAGCTTGACTATGAAAGGATGATTCACTTCTGCCAAAATATCTCTCTCCATTTTCGATCGTACCCGATCCCGAACTATAAGAGAGAGAACAATAAGAACAGTAATCAATTAAGAGGCATCATGGTGCACAGGGGAGAGAGTATTGAACTGGGACTCAGAAAACTTGGATTCTAGTCCTGACTTTGCCACTCGCCCGCTGTGTGACCTGGGGCGAGTCACTTCACCTTCCCTGCCCATACCGCCTGTCTTGTTTCTGTAGATAGTAGTAAGCTGTTGGGGGGCAGAGACTGTCTCTTTCTCTGCATTTGTACAACAATTAGTACTAATCTTGGCTGGGCTGTGAGGCACTACGGCAATATAAACAATACGAAGAAGATTAAGGTTTACAAAAAGGAATTTTAATATAAAACAACACTATATAAACTGAATATCTAATATAAAAATAAACAGAATATAACAGCAACTTACCATCGCAAATTAATCAAGAGACTATGGTAGGTTAATTTTGCCTGCATTTAAGCGTACTTGTACTGTGCTGATATTAATAATAAGAATGACTCATTGAACACCTGGATGTGGTTTAGATGAAATATTTTAAGCTCCCAATCAGATACAATTAGTAAAAAGGAAAAGTCTGTGGCTGAGGCAAAAGAGGCAACTATCATTTTCATCTGCAGAGACAATTACTGCAGGGCAGAAGCAAGAGTAATGATTTTTTTATGGATCAGATGAATAAAGAATAAGAGAAAAAATAATTGCAGACGTGTATAGGGTTCAGGCTAATCAAGACTGAAACTGAAGATCACCTAGTAACAGTGTTTAATAGAATTTCACAACACCAAGCTGGGTTCCACTTTTCAGATTAACATCCCTTGATCCTAAAGCTGTATTTTATTCTTGATCACAGTTTTGCTGATTTTCTAATAAAGTTGTTTAGGTTTATTGTTCCTTCTTCTTGTACCACATTATTTATTCATCTCTCAGCTGCAGCACCCACCCACTGGATTGCGAGTCTATTTTAGTCAATAATGCATGAGGCCTCATTGCGGTTCTGTTGTCACATGTATGTGTATTGGGTGTATTGATAAATGGGAGGTCAAAAGCTGAATGCCTCCAGCACCCAAGTAATGAATATATTACAGTGCAATGACACATTCTTCTGTATAACTGTGATTTTAAAATTGTTGGTTTATAGACACTCGTCCAAACCAAAACCTCAGAAATGAAAACCCTTGAATGTTAGAAAAATTTGGGTCTCTAGCTATTTTAATGTTTTATTTAAGACAGGACCCATATAAGCATGATTTTGTAATCCTCATTAGCCATTCATACTGCTTCCTCAATTCAAGCCATTTTGTATTAAATTCCATACCATGTGCAAAGATGGCGTATCATATAGTCATGCAATGCGAAAGCTAGGCAGGGACATACATTTCTCATGCTGCACATACCATACACCACAAGGAGCCAGTCACGTACCCAGTGTAGGAATGCTTGGGGTAGAGACTGCTACGCCCTTTCTGTATAAGATATTTACTATTACAATCAAATGGATAAACTACGAGGAGTGCTTCCTGAAGTCTAGCTATGCCAAATGCAGGCAACCTCCCAAAACATTCACGTAAGCCATGCATCAGCCCTGAGGCACAAAATCCCCAAGCGACAGGGTAGAGAGGTAGTGGGCAGAAGCAGAAGTGGTTTGTTACCCACCACTGGGTAACAATATAAATCAGCTGTAATGCTCTCACGCCCATCATAGACAAAGAAGGACCACTCGGCTATGCCCACCTCACCAACCATACCCTTATACTGCCTGGTGCCTGACAGTAGTGCTGTGCTGACATTTTTTTTTAATATCACATTATAAAAAGCTTTGGTTTTAAGTTATTTTAGTCATTAGTTTGAGGGCAGTCGAATGTAGCCGCAGAGGTGATATTTGTGATGTGTGTACATGTGCATTACATCTGCGTGGCTATGGCCACGAACAATGGCAGGATTCCCTCACCCCATTGGGTACTTCTCCTGACACATTGTTAGGGTGTTGTGTTTTTAGGTGAGCGCCAGGATCCTGTTGTGCTGGTGAGAGCATGGAGGGCATGCTTTGTATCAGGATAGTGCTCTGTGAGGAATGGGATATTATAATAGGATGATGGCACTAAGTGGTGGTGGTGGGGGGATACTGTTTGCTTGTGAAGAGGCGATTGAAATGGGTCTGGGGAGCAACGTGTATAAGGGATTTCAGCATCAGCCATCTGCCCCTTCTCCACAGTCCTTACTAGTCAGTATTTCTGGGGACTGCGGATCTGTAATCCTTCTTATTCTCCATAAGAAAACGTCTGTTCTGAAAATGGATTTCGGGATTTGGCAGGCAACAATGGATGTAACCCGGTTACACACTGTGTGATTGTCTCTGTGCCACATTTAACATTCCCCTCTGGGTCTATCTAGCTCAGATCATTAGACATAATTCACCAAGGTGGTGGTTACACAATTTGGGACTTCATCAGAATGCCATGTTGGTATGCCATCTGCCTCCCCAAATGGAGACAGAAGCTGTAGCATGCCCATGTGATATTGAGGAGAGTATGTCTCCATATAACATGCATCACAGCTTCTCTGATACCTTGGCCTGATGACCCCTTTTTACATATCCTTCTAATCTCCCATTCCCTACCCAGGGGCAACTAAAAAGACTGTTGTGGCACACAGGTACTTCAGAGGCTATAGTTTGACTGATAGGTGGATGATATGCTCTCTCCGCCCCTTTGCTTTACATATTTCCTGGCATGGGCGCCCTTAGGACAGCAATTACGTGGGCCCACTTCTGGCATCCCGATGTCACAGCATCGGTCATTTAGTCCATTGCTCAGATGCTTTCTCACATTCTATGGCAAAGCAAATCCATCTCTATTCCCCTCCTCCTATATTACCTCTCTGTTGCTTTAGTGTCTCTGGGCTGCGCATGCTTTTAATCCATAGAAGGAAACATAAGTTTAACATTCTTCAGGGTAGAGACAGCTGATGGTTTGCTATTCCATGTTGAATATCTGCAAGGCCCTATCACCATGGTATTTGTATGCCATACAAGGCTATAGGCAATATAAATCAAGGCACACTCCCTCTCTCCTCCAGCTCCCACTCTAGGCAGGTTTTCTGGTTGTGGGGGGGGGAAAGGTCAGGTTTTCTCTCTCTCATATCCTGGATTTGCCATATGCTCAAGCTCTTCCTGCTCCTGTCTACATTTTTGATGTAGGTGGAGCTGGTGTTGATGGGTTAAGGCCCTCCTGAAGAGGGTCAGGCTTTGGCTCAGTTTGACAACCTCTAACCAAGTCTTCCCCAGGTGGGGCCCTATGTATGAAAATGCTCTGCCTGCTGCATTCTACAGTTTTGTGCTTGTGTCCAGGATTGGCCCCAAAACTTCTAGTGCCTGCATCATAGCATGTAGGGGGCCAGCATAAATGGGTGACATTTATAGATTGTCTGCAATGTGAGTCAATTCTGGCTCAGTCATTCCAGATTGCTGGGTCCTGGTCGCTCTGAGATTATTCTCCAGATCCTATAGGGAGAGATTAGTAGGGTCTGAATATGCAGTTGGATGTGAGGGATGAAGGCCCAGTGAACCAAAAAGAGCACTGATGCGTATTTCTGGAACAACTGTGGATACCTCTTGTTGTCTAGGTCATTACATGTGGGTGCATAACTTTCTACTTTCCTTTGTTGGATCAGCTAGCATAGGAGACAACTTGCATCATCCTAAATTCAGTCAAACTTGTCTATAAAAAGGACTTATTCCTATGGATCGCATTACTCTGTCATCCTGGAAGATTTAGCTTCCCGTGCTGTGGTTCACTTCAGTGTTGTCCCCTCACTTGGCTATATAGAAGGGTCTGCTGCTGAACGAACAAACTTACTCCAGGCCTTTGAGAGGGCTATGCTGCACTATTCTTACCCCTCTCTTGGTACTGGCAGGGGATTGTTCAGATGTCCAAACCCTATCTCCAGTGCCTAACAGCCCCTTTTGAGATTTGCATCACCTATAGAGGTTTAAGTGCAGCGTGCACAAGAAGCGGCAGTGTATAGTGTTTTGGCAGGTGACATACATACTAACAGAAGATGTTTACTTATCTGCATAAACAGTTTGTTCACTGCAAATGGTGCCCATTTGCTGAACTCCCACTGACAGGGAAGCTTTTATCCTGTATATCCAGTATTGGATTATGGCCAAAATGTGTGTTTTGCCTCTCAACTTTAAGCTACATAATAGAAATGGAGAGTGTATAACCTAGAGCAGGGCTTCCCAAACTACGGTAGGCAATCTTGGTGTTCCATCAGTTCACTTCACAACAAGTTTTTAATGTGGTGGTATATGAACCAAGAAATTGGGGACACTGCTGGCCCAGAAGAATAAGTATAGGGCTGAGATTCAGGAAGTCATGAATGCTAATCGTGGCTGCGCCATTGACTCACTTGTCCAATCTAGGATAAATAAATTATCTATAAATTACTTCTGCTACCCTGGGGGATGTGAAACAGAAGTGACTACACTGTCATATCCTACAACAATGGAGAAAGTGTATGTCAAATTGCAATAAAAGTGATCCACATTTGAATGAGTCCATTTAATATGATAGGGTTGGGATGGGAGGAGAAACTTTTTTTTTTTTAAAGTGGATTTTTAGCTAGACGGTTGGTGTAGTTTTCCTAGTCATAAGAGACTGAAGTGAAAGGGAAGAGAAAGAAGATTAATAGTGTATTTCACTGATAAAAAGAAGTTCCACCTCTAGAGATGATCAGTTGCATCCCCCCCGCCCCCCAAGAAAATGAAACCAAAAATCCCCATCCCTTCTCGCTGAGTGATTTGCTGACCTCAGATCTGGTCAAGAGTTAAATAAGAACAAAATATTAATTTTCAAGAGATGTGCCTTAGGCTAAATGCATGCCATAACTAGCAAAATCACGTCGCTAACTATGGACTCTGTCAAATATAAAAGGCCTTGCTTGATGCAGAAGCCACAGAATGTCTACTAATTCAGCAGGAAGTTGGGCTAACTCAATGGGAACCTTTAATTAAGCA